CTTAATGAAAATTTCAATTTTTATTGAAAGTTCATATTGTAAAATAATAGTTAATTGAAGATAAACAAATGAGTAAGATTTTCTGGTAGAGTTTTCAGAAAGTTGAACATATGCAAAGTTCTACAGTGTAGTTCAACATCAATATTTCAAATGGATGATTAAAAAATAATATGGTTCTATTACATCTAATATGTTTCTTTTTACAATGAAATGTTTCTCTTCTATAGGAAAAATGAAATCCCATTAATGTTTCTGGTGATGGATATAAAAATAAAAGTTTAACACGTAGCATTTGTTTTTTCACAAACTAAATAAATATAACGCAAAAGATACCATAAATATTCAACATTTACTAATTCATTAAATATTATTAATCTGTTTGTTTGCAACAGTGTACGAAGCAATCGAGCAACAACAATCACAGATGTTGTATATAAAGTATTTATTCTATTGAAATATCCAATATATGTTATTCATATAAATATCATATATTATCAATAAGAAAGAAGATTGATAAATTTTCGAATATGAAAAGCATTGAAACACCTATACTATCGAAATTTTTGTCTAATAGATTAATACTTGTGGATTACGATATATAACCTGCGTGTGAAATGTTTTAAATATTGAAATTGGCAAAAGACAGTTATTTTGGAAAAAAAAATGTCACCTCATCTAAAAAGTGATATTTCAAAAACTATTTGTAGCTTTTGACTATTGAGCTCTAGCTTATTGCAACTTATGATTGTTTTTTTTAGAAGATTAAATTCTCCGAAAAAAAAAAGAAAGTAAAAATTATTTCCATATACTCTTTCGAGAAATTGCACATGATAGAAAAAAGCCTATTTGGCATGATACAATAGAGATTATTTTATTTATTCAGGTATTTGCTTACAGCTAACTAGTCGTAAGTCAGAGTAAAATTCTAAAGATATATTTAGAATAAGAATTGAATTTTAGTTCTAAACAAATCATTTTGATTCTCATCGATTATATTTACATGTCCGAAAAATGAGTAAACATAGTTACCGAGATCCTTGAAACTTGTGTTTTGTACAGAGATCGTTTTTAGTTCCCACTAAAGATTTGCTTTCATGGGATGAATTTTAAGTCTTGAATATATATTTAGAAAGAGCATAAAATTCTCATTCTAGTTGACTATATTTGATTTTCTCTTGCAATCTATTAGTAGACAAAAATCGAACAGATATATTATGCAAAGAATTTTTGTATGCAAGCTATAAGACGATAACATAAGTATTGTGATAGTTCGTCAAGGTATTAAAATAAATTATTGACTAGAAATAAATGAAGCAACAACTGAGATTATTGATATATAGATATCAATGATACTATGTAATTTACATACAAAAATAAATATAAAGAAGAATATTCTACTTCTATTATTTTTTATTATTAGGGAAGGAATGAAAAAAGAACTGATGAATTGAAAGGTAAAATATATGTATTGAAGGAATGCTCCACAAGTTCTAAAATGATGTTAAAATTCATCGTTATTCTACTAAACAAAAGCAAACTAGAAACTATAGCAATACTATCATCCACTATTGTTATGGATTTCCTAATAAGTTAAGGACGACCATCTCTTCTCATCTTTTCAAATTTTTTCGGGAACGATCTAACGAAAAATTTTGTAGGAACAACATTTTGAAGAGAAGAAAAAAATACGCATCTCGATTCAATCAAAGTACTCATTAATAAAAATTTGAGCCCAATCGAAGATACTGTGTGGAAGAAAATTACGGTTTTTTTTGTTTTCTTTTTGCAAATTTTATTAATAAAGAACTACTTCTAAGAAACATTCATAGAACTAATAAATAAGATTGGCACCTAAAAAACATAGATCTTTTTTTTTCAAGGTAGAGATGCTCGAAATTGAATTTTTTCAGGTCTTATATGCCTTGGAACAATTCTGGTTTTTCCGATACTTCGTAGAAAACACTGAAACAAATCTTTAGAAATAAAAATCTCGAAATAAAAGAAAAATCTTTTAATTAATTGATCAATTACTCATTTGAATCGTGCTTATCATTATCTATCCTTCTTCAACATAAATAAATCGTCAATTTTTTTTTTTCGATTGTCGGATGTTATTGTATTCTCGCTCTCGTAATTTCGAATCCCAAATATATTTCATGTTGAATTCGATCAGTAAAAATATGTCTGACAAAATTCAGAGGTACTTCTTTGAATAGACGAAAGATGAATTTTCAAATTTTGTTTCAGAATTTGTAAAACATTCCTTACGTATATTCTACACTTATCAAATAAATAAAAACATATGATGAACATTACTAGTAATTATTAAAACGAAGTTATAAACGTTCAAAAATTACAAACATATACCGAGTAAGAAATGAAATAATAGCTTGAGAGATTTTATCATTGAAAAAGAAAATCATACTGAAATAATTTTCATTGGAAATCACACCTGCAAAGATTAGCAAATAAAACATCAATGAATATTCAATATTATAAAATTTATTTTTTCTTACATAATAGAATTTATTTTCATATTCCAACGTTTCTCATCAAACATCTGTACTATTTGGATTGTGTTTTTTTTTTTATACAATTTAAATCCTTTGTTATATTAGCATAATAATTATTTATGAAGACTAAAAAAAAAGTGATTTAAATAATCAATTAGATTTGTAAGAATGAATTACTATTTTGAAAAGCAAGAACCTCTTCGAGTTTTGCTTTCGGTTTGACATGTCAAAAACGTAGTAATAAATTAATAATTGTAAAACTGTTAAAAGTAAATAATATTTGAATCTATAAAATGATATAATAAAGCAATACGTTCTTTTTTTGAATCAACTGTCCCATTGATTATTTCAATAAATGCGTTTCGAATATCTTTATTATCAGTCGTTACATCAACTGCATATATGGTTGGATACTGTTTTTAACGCTGATTCAGAATATCACATTTGTTTTGCTTTAGCATTATTCTATGACAAAAAAAAAAACTCTAAAAATATCGGTTTTTTTATCGAAAAACCATCAAAAATCATAAAAAATTAAGCAGTATAAACTCTTTTTCGCATCGAACATATTTTCGTTTTTCAAATATTTTTTTATCATTTTGTAGAGAATAAAAGAACTGCATAACATATATAAAATTCAGTCTGGGGGTCTCTGTATTCTGAAACACAGCATGAGTTATACTGTTTATTTGCATTGATCAAAAGGACTATACCCCTTGACTCATATTCGCTCTATAAAACTTAAATTGTTAGCCATTATATTATATAAATCTAGCTCATTTTATTCAGTTTTCAATTCTCTATCGTCCTATGTATACCACAAAAAATTTCAATGATTTACTGAAACGTGAGTTAACACATATTTTATAGAATATTTTTTCTTATTTTACCACAAAAAGACCCGATAGTGCCAAAAGTTGATCTTGGCTAACTTTTCATAGGAAGGGTATTAGAACCTAAAATTTTAGGGTTAGTAGTTTTAGATATTGAAGTTTTGAATGAGCAAAAAAAATCGAAAAAAAAATTTTATCGAGTACCTCGTATATTCGATGCTCTCATGAACCCTCTCGTAAAATATATTTCTACGATTACTTTATAAATTGTTTTCAAAATTATCATATTCATTTTGATATTGATCTATAGAAGAAACAGATAAGCAGTTGACATAACATTTTTAAACTAAAAGAAAAAAAGAAACTTGTTCTTCATCTTGAAGGATATAGATTTAATATGGTCGAATCCTTTCATTTTATGTTAGTCTACTCATGTATGTTTCAGAAAACGAGCAAGATCCAACGTATATTGTACATGGTCCTGTCAACATTTCTGGTCAACGATCACATTAACGAATTCATCCATCAGTGAGTGTTGATATTGTTTCATGTTGTTGTTGTTGTCGAAGGGAAATGAATAAATTTTGAAATCTATTGAAATTTTTGACAAGTTACAGATGTTATTCGAATATTGGTTCTTTCTTTTAAAATAATTCTCTTTTTATTATTAGAAATAATTCGACAATAACAATTAAACTAAATAATATTAAACAAAATATTTCAAAGAAAATTCTTTTAAGTATTTTTTTTCTAAATTATAATTCTTTTGTTTTTTTTTTTCGATTAGGAACTTCAATTCAATTATAATGATTTAAATAAATATTTATTGAAATGAATGAATTATTTATTTATTATTGAAATAAATCATAAATAAACAAATAAATGAAATTTTTATTCAGATTTGGTTTATTTTATAAATAAAATTCTTTTTAAATAATTTATTTGACAAAGAAAAAAAAAATATTTAAATAATATTAAATTCGATTTAGTAATAATAATTAGATAATTATTCTCTGATTTCTTTTTTCAATAATATATAAATGATAAATACACAAAAAGCTCTAAAATAACATTGACTTATTCATTATGATAAAACGATTAAACTATTTTCATAATTATTAAAAACTCCTAAATTGAATATAAAATAGTGAATAATCAAAAAATATTTCTACTGATAAATATGATTATTAACTAGATGGTATTCGAGTTTCGACTCGAATATGAAATGCGGTGCGAAGCACGAATCTGTCGAATCTGCGAAAAAACGGTACCTTCTAGAAACCGAAAATTCGATTGTGCGGTTAATAGGAATAGTAATTTCTGGTGTACGNTCCATTGAAATACTATTGGTTGAGCAGTGACCAATAGAAATCAAGTTATAGGAAAAACGACTTTCTTAAGGTAAATCAAGGAGAAGAGTTCAAATTTGAGCTGTATTCGGTCACAAGTCCTATTGGTTTGGCAATACCCAATAGAAATCAACAGTTTAGAGGGTAGGTTCCCCAGTATAATTTTGATGTCCACACATTCTAGGATGGCTGATTCGTCTGATTCACTTTTTGAAGTACACATAACTCTCGGATTTAAATCCGAAGTTTCCGCATTTATTTTCTTTTTGAATAAATTTTTTTAATCAATTGATAAAATTCAAATGTTATATTGTTAAAAACATCTTACCTGTACTTAATGTCGGTACAATATTTGGAAAAACAGGTGAGCCACCAGTTTCTTCTATCATTTTCAATTCCTCAATTATTTCCTTTTCATGTTTAAAATTAGTTGAATATGTTCCTGTTCGTGAAATTTTCATTACATAATTTAATAAATTTATATTTTCCTTTTTTTCTTCTTTCACTTTTAACAAGTAAACAATTGAAGTTGCACCGCTACCTAATCTTTCTTTTATTTCATAATCTTGACCAAATAAATCATCATCTGGACTTATATTTAAAATATTACATTGGTAAAATTGCCATTTCATTGTTAAAAATTTAATAAATATTTTCCAATTTTCTTTATTAAAATAAATAATTTCTTTTGATACTTCATCCATTGTAATTGCATCTAAATTTGATCGTTCTTTATGTTCAAATTCAATCAATTGTAATGTTTCACTTTGATAATATTGCAAATCGTCTTTATCCGATATTTTATCACAATAAAAAAATGTTATTGTATGAAAATCATATAAAAAAGCATAACATCTTCTGCAACCTTGCATAATGTTTAGATTCTCAAAATATCTTCCAATTTGTCCAATCATTGCTACATGAATATCACCCATTATTGGTAATTTCAATTCACCAAAGCAAACAAGAAAATGAACTAAGACTTTTGTAATACTTTTATCATGAATTGAAACATTTTTGTATATAAAACTGCAATCAGGACTATTACCACCTAAATAGTTTTTTTTAGATGTATTTAAATATTGCAATGATGTTAAATTGTTGAATTTTTTCAATAACTCAGACATTAAATTATTAACTGCTTGTTGTAATATGTTTTCTGACATTTGATCAAATGATACAAAATTTTCATAACGATTTATAATACATTGTTTTATATCTTGTAAATAAATTTTAATACATTCTTCAATATTATCATTATAAGAATCATTATTTAATAAACAAACATCATCAGTTAATAATGACTCAATCTTGAATGTATGCAAATTTTTATACATTTTCTTCCAATAATAATCACCATTATCTTTAATATCACATAGTTCGTATTCACTTGACGAACGCCTTGACTGAGCAGATGTAGCTGTAGATTGATTACACGTCGAAATTGTAGATGTAGATTGACTGTTTGTCAAACTTGTAGTTGCAGATTGACTGTTTATCGAAGTTGTACTTTGATTAGTAGATGATGAAAATCCTTTATTGTCTGTTTTTCTTCTCTTTGTTGTCGATTTTGTGCTAACAGATCGTGGTCTTCTTCTTCCTTGTCCTGTACCTTGTACAACTTGTAGTACTTTGAAGTCTAAATCTTTGTTTTCTGTTAATCGTGTTGCATTTTCTAGTCGTTTATTTCGTTCTAGTTCAACTTGTAATTTTATTTTTTCTTTTTCAATTTCTTGTTCGTTAAGTTGTAATTTTATTTTTTCAATTTCTTGTTCGTTAAGTTGTAATTGTATTTTTCCTTTTTCAATTTCTTGTTCGTTCAGTTGTAATTGTAATTTTCTTTTTTCTTTTTCAATTTCTTGTTCGTTAAGTTGTAATTGTAATTTCATTTTTTCAATTTCTTCTTGTATAATACGTAATTCTGTTTGTTTTAATTGTATATCCTTGTTTGTTTGTTTCAATTCGATTTCTGCAAGTTTTACTTGTATGTTCGTATTCTCTTTGTTGGAATCATCTTCATTTGGATTACTACTCTCCATGAATATCAGTGTTTCACTTGTTAAGAACCTAGAAAAACATGAAAAAAATCTCAATATGATTGTAATGAAATCGTACGTGAAATTTACATAAACAACTTTCTATTCATAAACTATGAAAATAAAAAGACATTAAATTTCGAAACAACTTATTCGCATCATCAAAAAAATTTCTTTGAAACTTTCTAATTCGTCACGATATGTTTTATGTAGGATAATATTAATATGAAAATAATTTTATAATTAAATTAATTGTTGAGAATGACTTCTGATGAGAATCTTCAATCATCAATATTTTTGTTTTATTTAGTTTTATTGTTATAATAAAAAATAAAAAAATAAAATAATCATTTATAATTAACTGTCTTCTCTTTTTTAGGATAGATATTTATCTATTTTCTATTATTTCAGATGAAAAAATTTTTTGAAAAGATTTTTTTATAAATAAAGTATTTTTACTAAAACCAACTCGATTTTCCAAATCTTTTAAAGGGTTTTTTTTTTCAATATCTACCATTTAGATATAATGCTAGATTGATTGTTTAATATCTAGAGTATAAATTGTAAAATTTCAATTTGTTAGCTTCTAAATATATGTTAAGTTTATTTGTTATTAACCAAGAATTAATTTTTGATAAAGAAATATTCTTTTAAATCTAAACAATTTTTTTTTGTATCTATATTTTATATTGACGAGTAAAATCTTATAAAATTTTGTTATCATTGATAATTTAATTAAGTTGAGAGAAGAAAAATTGAATGAATGTTAACTATGTCATCAATTAGTTATAATCAATTATTGACGATATAGAGATCAGATTGAACAATAATCTTGACATTTCAACTATTAAAAATGAATTCTTTTTCTTATTTATTTAAATTATGTTCATTTTTTTAAACAAGATTTATTTTTAAGTTAAATAGTCATAGATTAGCTTTATTATCTAAATGTAATTTATTACTGATGAGAAATTTTCATATAGAAATGCTAAGAATTATTTATCTAAAGTTTTTCAATGAAAAATTGAAAACTTAAATATAAATAATCGCTGAAATAATCATTAATTGTTTATTCTATTTGATATGAAATTTTTTTCTTCAACTTAATTGAAATAATTAATACATCATGTTTTATTTTTATTTCGATTAATCTTTTTT